CGTATAGCTACCGGGGGATCCCCGCGAGGGGCTCGGAAAGCTAGCGCCGTTACAACCAAACCAATGCGCACTTCGACATTAGGGTGGCGAACATTAAGCATCGAATCTTTGATGCCATCGAGCGAGAAGCTCTGCCTGATCGTTGGATGGCATGCAGCTAGATCAACAGGGTGGCTGAACTGAGTCGAGACTATGCAACCTTTGAGGCTCGTTCAGGCTTACCTCGCATGCCAAGAATCTCCTGAACGTCCAGCAAGATGGTCCTCCAAACTGCACAGATAAACAAATCAACATTCAATGCCCAGACGCTCATGAAGAATTCGAGTGCACAACTCACACAGTAAGTGCGACTTTCATTGGACACTTTAACAAGAAAGTTTTTTTCCTGCTCCTACGGGAAAACACTTACTGTGGATCAGTCACCAGGAGCACATTTACGCAAAAGCTGTCAGAGAAACGTTTCCAAGTTACTGGACAAGAACGTGCACCTACGTTGAATCTGTTTTTGCAGCATCTCCACTGACTTACTTTTAGCCAAATAATCACGATTAGAATGCAATCTTTTAAGGCAGCTTTCTGACGAAAAGGCTAATCATCCAGCAACCTCTTACCTTCAAGGCTCTTCCGACACTCCTCTGCTTCCATTGTAGCCTTATCGAGATGAGTAATGGCTACTTCGACCTCCTCGTATGCTCGTTGAAGGGAAGGAGGGCCATTGTCATAATCCACAGGAAGGTTTTCATTGGCTGCCAATACGAAAATGGTTCTGGATCATGCACCGTGCTTCGATATTTGCCATTGAGCTGATCTTAGCATCGCTGCCAGCAGAAGCCACAGCTGCACCAGAAAGTCTGCAGGGCCCCCAAGCAAGTTTGCACTTTATCCTAACAGCCTTGCCTTGAACTCCACAGAAAAGGCTGCATCGTGACTCTTCAAACGGAGAGCTTACACACTCAATGCCACTGAGCTCAGAACCAAAACGACGAGTACGAATTGAGGCAGAAAGAAAGCAAGCAAATAGCACTCACTCAACCGAGCTTCTTCCTGCTCCAACCTGGCTACAGCCTCCTGGACTGCCCTCGATTTCAAGCGCACCAGCCGACCTTTCCTGTCATAAAGCTCGTACGGGTCTCGCTGGGACAGGTGCTCATAAGCTGCTGGCATACCTGCCAAGAACACCTTAGTGCCCAAATCAGGCCCGCTTCCTACATAAACAGCCTGAGTGTGTATTGTCTGGTTCAGGGGTTAGTTCTCTGGGGCTCACTTTGCCGCACGGGTTTTTATCTCTACTGGAAATCTCAGACTTGAGTATATCATGCATAGCTCCTCCTTTCCTGCACAGCGCCTAGACAACCCGTGAAACACCTTTGCTCAAGCTTAAGCTCCACCTGCCACAAACATAAAGCAAGGGGGACAAGCTGTATTGCTAGGAGCGTGCCAGAAAATAGATGTGGTGCTGAGGTCTAACCCAGCGCTTCTTGGATCTGGTGTAGTTCAAAGGTGAAGTGCAACTCAAGTCAAAGAAGACGAGGGCAAAAGACCTCAACACGACTTACCCTCTCCCTCCTCCATACTGAGCATCTCCCAATCCCAGCTGCTCCCGACCTTGCCCATGGTCGTGTTCTCCTTGCCCACCTCTGCAGTACAAACACCCAACAATACAGAGCATTTGAAAAGGCTGAGCAGGCAGTAATTCTCTGTATATCTTTCCAGTGGAATGCCCCATCGTGGTCAATCATGTCAAACTCCATGATTGGTCTGCAAAGGGTGTTGCCAAACAATCTGGTTCAGCACACAAAACTTGAACACATTGTAAGCAGGAGTATGTAGGCTGTCCAGGTTAGCCAAAATTGCAGACACTGCTTAGACCAGGCAAGGGACTAATGCAGAGCGACCGACTATTTGCAAGCTACAAAAGGCACATGCATACAAGCACGGCAACAGAGCCAAAGAAGCCTGCTAGTGTGCTGAACTACTGGGCCAATGTTGACTTAGGGCAACCTCTTGATGTGAATGACGTTCTGGATATAACAATGACATATGCGTCCTCTGTTACTTTTGTTTCAAACATTCAATTGTTAAGTTGATTCTTCACCACAGGACCAACCAAGTACTATCAGGATTTCAAGCCTCACCCTCGTAGACAAAGACAATGGATTGCAAACCAGACAAGCCTCCCTAAAATCAACCCCTGAAATAGATAGACAAAAACGTCACAGACACAGCAGACTGACTCGGACTGCAAAATTCTCCAGTGCTACTACAGCTCTACTTACTTCCATCCTCGAGTGGCCCCTCTGCCTTCTGCCCTGCTCCCACAAGAAACACCAGCCTTTGCAAATGGGCCCTCACGTTCTTCCACATCGTTGCATGGTCAGCCGGCATGCTACGAGTTGCAGGACCAATTCATTCTGACAGTGATTCGTTGCCTCCACTCTTCAGAATTACCTGTACCGTACCTTGTTTAATACGACGTAGTCTGTTCCAAAACTCAAATTGCAGGGGTCGCACGACGCAAGCTGCCAGGCAAAATGGTGGGGAAGCAGAAAACCCTGAGGTCCACCGCGAGTGCCTATCCGAGATTTTGCATATGACTTCAGGACACTTTGTTCTACTATTAAAACCAACATTTTTCTGGGGTGGCATAAGCGGTGGACCATAGCCTCCTCATCAGTGTTTCCATTGGGGGCCGGCCACCAGCCATTTAATCGCCCCGAATGGCCGATGTCGTCCCCCAATCGAGGACGCTTGGGGGCCCAACGGGCCCCCAACACCCGAGTCAAGGGGGCCCTCCGGGCCCCCAATCAGGAGCCTAGCTAGCCCTTTCTATCCCCCTACTCTGTTCTCAGGGGGTTTTGAAAACTTGACAATTTCAGTAGCTTTTATGCCACACGCTGCGCATATGAGCATAAATACACCAAATACCCACAATAAATGGTTTTGGGGGGTAGCTGAACCTCTGATCGGCCTCTTAGACCCCATGTCTCCACAGCAGTTCAATATTTGGTCCCAAAAGGGGGCTACTCTTAGCAGACATTGGGGGCCCCGGTTCGATGTCTTGGGGGATCTGGGCCCCCAATGGAGAGGCTGAGGGGGCCCGAATAGCCCCCTTTGAAAAGTCCCAGGGGGGCCCTTCGGCCGCCAATTGAAAAAGTTAGCACGGAAACACTGCTCCTCATTTTGTGACTTTATTGAAATGGCAAGATACCAGGCAAAATTGCAATATAAGTGTAACATATTCAAACAGTCATAAGCAGGTGAATTTTAGCTGGCGGAACCAACCGTACTGGTCAAATTTCGCCTTGAAACCCGCTATACGTGCGATAACTTCATCGCATAATCCACGATCAGTTCGGTTTCTGCTTTCCCTCAAGCTGGCCCAGCTTGCGAGTCGCGACCCCTGACTCGTAGTACCGTAGTACTTCCTGCATGGGCGCAGCTAGGCACAGTGCACACGCCTTGTGTGATTTCGACAAGCGAAGAACTCTGCAAAACATTTCACATTTTCAGATTCCGCATTCAGCGAACTTGAGCCTGAGGCGCTCTCAATCACCCAGCGACCAGCAGCCAGCGATTTAGCGCTCTAGCATTCTCAGCTTTTAGCTAGTGCCCACGCGCCCGCTCGTATGCACTTACTGTGCTTGCTAGCTATAGCGTCGCTGCACGCTACGCGCCCCAGGTTCACCACTGCTGCCCTTCACAGGGCATCCGCGGGGCTCAGCACTGGCCCTCGCTGTTCACTGCAGACCGCCGGCCTCCGAGCGGTAAGATTTTGCGCTTCAGCATTCCCCTTAGTTTTGAGGAAAGTTTGAAACTGAAAAAGAAGCTTTAGTGCGATCGTATGGTGACTCTGACATCTTTGAACAGAAAAGTGTTGGTGCTGCTTATCATGAACAAAATTTGGGTTCTATGAAGTAGGTGTTTCTGCCAGTGTTAGCTAAAACGTGCTTAGAAGCTCGGGTGCTTACAAACCAAGCACAATCTGCTTGAACAATAGCAAATCTTTTTCTGATGAAGAAAACAGGGCGTCTACTCTCAAGCAAACTTCCGAAGGGAACGCAAATAGATTCAACACTTAGCTCTGACCTTACAACCACAACAATCTGGAGATTGTGGTCAGGGGTATGAGTTGCAATAGGGAAAGCCTGAAGCAGAGCTTTGAAGTCAGTAACCCTTGAAGGGCCCTAAGACTAAAGCTACTCAACCAACAAAGCGCGGTTGTTGCAAAAATTTCTTCTTTCTTTCAGTCTCCCCATTGGAAAGCTCATGTTCCTTTGTGTAAGGACTCCCAAAATTCTCTGTTCTCTTTAACATCCATTCTCCACTCACACTCGTAAACCAGCTTCTGAGCAAAGCTAAGGAGCCCTTCTTGTTAGTCTTCCAGACTATTAACTGATCCCAACTTCATTCCCTCGTGTCCGCAGCCGAGCGCCCCCCTCGTCCGCCGCCCCAGCGCCACCGCCCCGCTCCGGCGCCCCACCCCCACCCTCTCCAGACCCCTGCAAACCCCCACGCGCCTCGCCCCCATCAGGACCAGAGCGCCACTCGCAGCCTCCACCTCCTCTCCGCTCAGCCCGATCCCAGAGCACTCCCCGCTCTCGTTCTCCACCAGGAGCCCGACGACTCTGTTGGCTCCCAGGAGCCCGATCGTCCCAATAGACCCAGAGCCTTTCATTGGCATGGCTGAGGTTGAGGCTAGGAGGAGGAGGGAGACACTGGAGGCAGCGGTTTGGGGTGGGAAGGTCTTCCGGCCGGCGGGGGTTGCGGGGAAGGGGACCCACAGGAGGGCGGAGGCGCCGGCGAGGCGGCAGCCGCCGGCGCCCAAGTTCCAGGAGTTTCACCTCAGGACAGAGGTAAGTTCGTTGAACAAAACAATGTACTGTTGACTGCAAGTTGCTCAGAAGCTTTCTTTTTGCAACTCCAAACGGGTCTTTGCACATCTTGATTGCAACAAGGATAAGATACTTTGGTAAGATATCGTGACTTCACTGAAATCAGCATCAAAGTTGCATGACACTACGGTGTTGCCTAGAACGTCTCATACCTGCGGGATGAAACTTGTACCGGGTCTGGCAGAGCTGTTAAGGTCTAAAAGCAACTGGTACTTGTCTCCAGGTGCGGGGCATCATGCCGCAGGCAGAGGTGGCGCGGCAACGGGCAGTGAAGGAGCTGGGGTCCCTGTGGGACGCCAACCTCTTTCACGCCAGGCCGGCGCCCAGGTCGCTGAGGCATGGGCCGCCCGTGGTGAGTTTGCTCACTGTTTCTGACATAAAGCTTCTGATATCTTTGAGTATTCCCTTCAAAGTCATTCGGGAGAAGATTTTCAATGCAGTGGTTGAATTCAATTAGTCTGCTTTCCTTGACATGAGACGAGCCAAATGTTGTCCGTTGCATCTTACGCTGATATGCAATTCTCAGCTGTCACTTATGGGCCTGCAAATCAATGACACAATCCTAATAATGAAGCCTCCACCCACTTCTTGACTCGAGTTCCTAACCATTGTGCAGGAACTGACACGGATGTCTCCATCAAGGAGGGCGGCCCTTCAGGGGAAGGCAACAGGGGCAGTAGATAGGTCCAGCAGGCACTGAGTCTAGGCAGGTAGTAAAATATGAGCGGGCACTGCAGCGGCAGGTCCTGCATATACAGATCTTCTAGACCGGACTGTTTATTCTTGCACGCAAGTTACTGCACACTGCCATAGACTTCGAAAAATTGCTTAAGACTGTGCCCGCTGGCGCTCTGTTAATATACTGCCCCTGTTGCCCCCCTGCCTTTTTGCGTTCACTGATTTCACTCAATGCTTCTTTCAGGCGTCTGTTGAAGAAGCTGTCTTTCCAGGCTAATCGAATTTCCGTGCAAATGCATCATTTTAGGAATACTTTCAATCCATTTGTCATCTAGGGATGTGGTGCTTATTGCAATTCAATTGCTTGTACCTGTTCAAAAGACTATGACTCACAAATTGGCGCTGCGCGTATACGATACGATTGGGGCTCAGACACATATGCAATTTACGAGATCGATGAATCTGAGTTGATAGTACTTCTGTTATTAAGCATGCCCGGCACTAGTGACATGGCTGGCTCTGCTGCCGAATTCATCCTCTTAGTATATATAGTCTCTTAAGTTACGCGCGTACTTCTTCAAATGTGCCAGCTAATGATATCTGAACTAGCTGCATGGGTCATGCATTCGATTAAGACGACCGTCATGACAAAGTTTAACTTACATACAGAATGGGAGCATGATCAACATTGCATGCGCCGGTCGCAATCAATCTGCACATCACTGTCAGTGTGCTTTTGTTAGTACGGCCCGGCATGAACAGTCACAGGTACAGAGGTTGAATGTGCTGCATATAGGGCCGGGCCGGGCCGCCCTGATTTAAGGTCAGAAGTTAGTATCGTAATACTGAATCGTAGTGGAAAAGAATTGCGTAGCGCAGTTGCTTGCCATGAAGCTTTTCAAATATCGGATTAAAATTGGGTGTCTGCTTGTACTCCGATGGCTTCGATGTGGAACTGATTACGTACGGTCCTATAAAATCCCATGTACTCGATCAAGGGCCCCGCAGGCTTTACAACGTGCACTCAGAATATGCAAACCGTGTGTGTATCCGAAAAGCTGAGCTTTCTCGGCGCTAGTCGGCTATTCTCCGGCGACGTTACGTATCTCGTTGAATGAGTGGCCTTGTCCTTTATCCTCCCGCAGCTCTTTTACAAGACTGCTCAACATGAATAAAGAACCAAGACGCATGCTCCTGCATCTCTCCGGCAGAAAACGAACACCACTTTTTGGGGCTGTCCAATTGAGATCAACTGCAGCAGCGGCTACCAAGGCGTCACAAGAGCGAGCTACCAGTACCTTAACTAATCAGCAACGACATTAGCAATGAGCCCTTTTGGACGCATGAATGTGAGGTACCTCGTTAGTCCCCTTGTCAGAACGGAGGCGTCTACAGCGGGACGCCGTCGAGGAACGATGTGAATAGTTTTAGCCCTTCCGCTGGCTTGTACTCGGGGACTGTGTGGCCGGAGCCCTGCAAGAACGGGAGGTTCGTCATCTTTGCTCGAATTATCATGCTTTATCTTCCCATCTGGTCTAGCTTGTAAAGGCTTCAATGCTTAGCAATCTGTGAAATCTGCGAACGTGACCAAGGCGTGTGATTCATGGTGCGAAGATACATTTCCACAACTAGGAAACTCCAGATTATGCGAGGGACCTGAAAGAGCGGGTTCGGTAAGGTGAATCGATATTCATAGCTCTTTCATCAACCTGATAACTCCATGGGTAACAGCCGCAGTCAATCTGACTAAGGAAGGCAGTTCATCTGCTCCTTTAGAGGCTGTTTGGCGGGGAGCTCTCACCTTGACGGTTGCAAAGGTCAGGTTGTGTCCGTAACGTACGGTGTACCTGGACGTAAAATTGGCCTCCTTAAGGACAGTTTTCTATTCGAGCAAAAATCCCTTTGCAATGGAACTGTGCATATGCAACAGCCCGGGGAGTGCTATGGAGGTTTGCGATCAAGAGTTGCTGTTACCAGACTTCGTAGTTTTGGTATTGCAGGAAAGTGCTTCAAAGAGTAGCGCAGCACAAAGGCCTCGTGTCAACCAGAACCCGTGGATTAAACAAAACAACGAAAGTCCAACTCGAGAATAAAAAACCATCAGAAAGACGACGCAAGGCAGCAGCCAGTGGTGCATCAGACTGGACATGCAGCATTCGGCCTTGTCAGGGTGAAGAAGCTTAAAAGGTCTGCAGACTTCAGCAACGAGCAAACGAAAGTTGCGGTGTGAACACGATCAAAGTCCAAAACAAGGCCTCACCCCGCGACCTGCTTGTCGTTCGACTCGTCTGTAATGATCCAGGGCCGCCAGGCTTGCTCCACTTCGTAGTTCAACGAGCGGGTCCACGCTTCAGAGCCGGTGTACTGGGAACGCGAAGAGCAGAACGTGAGCTTCTACCTGGCTGGCCTGGACACCATTTTGCGAAATGGACACTGATTCCTGCGCTGCAAGGGCCGGGCATTTAAAGTACTGTTGAATCACCTTTTCTGCTCCAGACCTAGTCCTTGTCTTATCAACGAGAGCGTTCCAGTGAATGCAAAAGAGACTGTTAGGAGCCAACGTCCTTCGGAAGCAGCCCTGCTTATCAGGCTTACTCCTTGCCTGACGAAGAAAACCGTTCCCTCCACCGAGTGCCAAGAAGAATTCTGTCAGGGAGAACCATTTTCTGCTTATGCCATTATGATTGATCGCGACTCTCAGCACCGGGAAACAACTCACCGGGACACACATGTCGTGGTCGCCCGAGTAGATGAGCACCCGGTACCCTTTTCCGGTCAGGTTTCGGTGAATGGGCACCATGCTCCCGGCGTTATGCGTGTAGGCAATGCGCCCCGTGCACAGCAACCAGGGCCCGATGTCCGACACCTGTCGATAGATTTGAGATTTGTTCAGGCTGAAGAGATTTGATAGGCCGTGTCACTTCGAGGCAGTGCGCTAATAAGGCCTTGCAGGTGAGACTTGGGGGCCTTTGACCGAACAAAATTGTTGTGGAGGGAAGTGCATGTCGATAACGCAAATTTTGCGGCGACAGACCTACTGATTCGATATTGAGGATTCGCTGCGAACGTGCTTCGAGTGGGCAATTTTCTGCTTCCCCTTCTGCTTCAAGTCACACCCTGAACCCAAGGAAGCTACGATTGTATCGGCCCTTTCGATCCTACATCCCAGAGGGCCACCCGCGAGTGTGCAGAAAGTACAATCAATCTGCATTCTAGCACGAGGCGAGTCCTCAGGCGAAAGAAAGACGAGAATCCAGATGGAAGGCAGGAGGCCAAACAGAAAAGGTGCCGAAGCGGAGGACCGAAGCCGAGGAGGGCTTCTTGCCTGCAAGAAGTGGGCCGTTCTTCAAGTGGCAAAATTCGATCCACGCGTTGCGTCTCAATTGACCCGGAGTTCCTAACCCAACGGCTTTAGGGCACAAATATTGCATCTGAACAACTAGGAGACGGAGTCGCTTTGAAAAGAAACTGCCTCACCGGCCGGGCATGGATCGCTGTGCGCACAGCCTCGTCGTTCAGCCATCGGCTTCCAACCCGATCGTCCTGCAAGGAACGGGGCATTGATCTTATTGGTACAGCGCCACCGCAAAATCTGCCTTCGATCGCAGCGATGAGAAGATCCTCGACTGATCATGATTCTTGCCGAACCACGGCGACGATTGCAGCAAAGCACGACTTGGACCACAGGAGACTTTCGCGTCCAAGCGAAATCGTGCGAAAGCAATCCCGGAAGCTTCAAAAGAAAAAAATCCATCGGCTGAGGTCATCGAAAGAGACATTCAAACTCTCAAAAGTCGATCCAAGCAACCACACCCACTCGCTCACCATGCACGGAACGAGTCCGTTTCCGTTTAGTTCCGGCCAGCTGGGCACGTGGCCCTCCCTGAGCGGCGCGAGCAGCGGCCAGCCCCGCCCAAACATCCGCACCCGGGGGGGTGGGTCCGCGGGCAAATTGGTCAGGCCCGCAGTGAGAATCGACCCCCCCGCAGCAATCGGGTTTGGGTTGGGGGGGTGGAAGCACTTCTCCAGGATGTCATAGATGTTTAGACCGTCGGTGTCGTCACTGGCACGGTCGAGTAACGCGGAGTAGTCCTTGGAGGAGGCGTTCCAGAACTCGCCGCCGGCCTCTTTGAAGAGGGCCTGAAAGAGAGTCGGTATGCGTTTGGTCTTCATTTTGGGTTCTTGCTTTAAGGCGGAGATGGAGCGACAGCAAGATAGTTGTCAAGATGCAACCCCAACTGCAAAAATCGAGAAAGTAAAAACGAACGTAGTGCAGGGGGGAACGAGAAAGCATCGAGAAGGAAAGGTTAGAGCGGGACGATGGATATGATTGTAGCAAAGGACGGAACTCGGCGACTGCGTGATAGAAACAGGAGCGAAGAAGTGCGAGACTCACCTCGTAAAGATCGTCGTCAATAAGGCCCATGCCGTGGGTGAACGGGATGATGGCATTCCCGTCAAACCGCTCGTCGGTGCAGCCGTTCCCCACAGCATAACCCTGTGGAAAACCGTGCACTCAGTTAGGCCCGCACATCTAACTGCACACCCGGTCACACCTGGCCGCATGACCCGAGTCCGACCTAAGCGGATCGCAAAACTTTGCCCGGTGTGCAGAATTTGGAACCTGCGATGACCTGGTTGCCCTCCCATCGAACGGCCCTGGTTCTGCGGCTCGAGAAAAGCTCTGCGACTGGCTCGATTCGGGCTCCGGTCGGACGGCCAGGTTTGACCGAACCTGCAGTCTCAGACCTGTTCACAGACCAGTGTGTCGAACGAGGCAGAGCCGGAAACACAGTAATATGGCGCGATGCTCCTCTTCCCATTTACGACACATGCCCTTGAGGTCTCGAAGGACTTCAAGAATGCATACCTTGAAGTTGATCTTCGGTTCCACCCCCGCTTCGATTCCCGCATCAACTTCCCTGGCCAGCGTCGGGACGTAGATGCCGGCGTACGACTCGCCCGCGATGTAGAAGTCGTGATCCAGGAACCGGGGGTACTGCTGCAGCCACTGCGAGGCACGGAAAAGAAAATGGATCATGAAAGTTAGATGGTTTGAAAGCAGGCCTGCGAAAAAGCAAAGTCAATAGAATTGGTGCGAACCGCAACAGAGGAGCTGTGCCTTCTGCACGTCCAACGAAGTGTCACTTCTTGCTTTGTGCGGATGCACCCGGACTTCGCAAGTGTAATGTTTATGGCTGATTGGAACTTCGAAGGAATGGGGAAGAAATGAATGATTAAGCAAACACACAATGGTAGTGAGAAGCGTCCGTCAGCTAGAAGGAAGGACCAACAGGCATACGAGATTCGAAGTGCAAGCCCACCTTGAGGAGGAAGGTGTGGGTGTCTTCTGCGGTGCGCAGGTCGTTGGTGATGGCGTCCGTCTCGTTTCGCGAGTAGCTCAGCCCGACAAAAGCGGGGGAGTCGAGGTAGATGGTGTTTGCCACCTGAGTAAGGGGACAAGTCAGCTGAAATAAACTCTGGTCAACATCTGAAGAGGGAAAATATTCAACAAGAACCAAGCAAGCAGGGTAAGCGAAGCACGGCCCTACTTTGGGACGGCTGCAAGCGGGACAGAGGATACGAGCTCGTCCAACGATGCTGTTGTACGAGGCATGCCACATTGGTTGAGGTGGAAAAGCCAATCCGACATGTCGTAAGCAAGTTCGAGGAACGGGTAAGTGTCGGCTGAACTTTAACAGGGTCAGAAGAAGCGACGTGCCCCTTGAAAGTTTACCTGGCAACCTGACTTGGTCACCAGCTATGCCTGACAGAAATATGTTCATGAATGATGTATCTCAGAACGTATAAACATGCTCAGATAATGAATTAGATGACAGACGAAATTTGACGCCACTCCGTGTCGAATCCAATTCGAGACCCAGGTGTACAACTGGTTCAAAACCAGGCTACCGAGACAAAGGGAAACGAAACCGCCCCAAAAATGAAGACAGAAGCGCAAATCTACGCCTTACCTTGCTCCAGGAGTACTTGTTGAGCTTCAGAGTGGGGAGCTCGTCGATCCCATTGTCAGGGTGGAATTTGAAAGGGCCTGGGAGCAATCCATGTGAGTGAACAGTTTTTGAAGAAAAGTGCATGATTCAATCCGTCCATCTGGTCGCTGATTGTTGCACAAGCCTGGGGGGAAAGTCATCTCAATATGTCTAATGCAAGCAACCTGCTGCAGAAACGGCGGTTGCTGGAGCTTCCATACGACGACAAGACCAGACCTGATTTTACAACTGGCTACGAGACTCTTCGAGCCCCTGCAAAGTATCTAACTGCAATCTAGCACAGCTGCCTTCTCAAGTGTACTAAATTCAGAGCTCGACGATCGGAAAGATCTGAGTCATGCGATTCTAGACTAGATAAGAAGACAACCAGGACTCACCATGCTCATAGACAAAGCCGTCAAAGGACGAACAGCCGGGGCCGCCGTTAAGCCACAGGACAAGCGGGTCATCAGTGGGGCTCCTCTCAGACTCCACAAAATAGTAGAACAGGTTGCGGTCGTGCACCTCGTCCACTGTGATATACCTGCGCAAGGGCACACCAAAGCTTTTGCCCCAGTGCTTCTTGTCTGTTGTTGAGCATGTTGACTGCATCATTTGCTTTGGAAGAGCCTCTGTTGTTCATCCTGATTTCTGGTACATCAAATGGGGCCTTCACCTACGTACTCTGCTCTCGAAGTTGATTACTTCTCACTCACCCCCTGTAAAGACTCATCTGCTGAGCTGCACAAATTAGAAGATCGAAAGTCCCAGCATGGTCATGACCATCAAGGGGCACGGCTTTGGTTCGGAGTCGAGACCACCCCTTCTCATACTAGCAGAATCAAATCCTGGTGCCCATTTATCGACAAATCCACATGGTACTCTCACCCTACACCTTGGATCCATTGGACCAGACTGTCAACTGAATCACTCAATTACTGTCAGAACGCGGAAGTAAAAAACTTTGTGGTCCAAACCGCTTTTCAGTCTTCTCAGATGGACTCAGGAGGTCGATCAGTATGTGAGTCCCGCATCGCTCACCCAGCAAAGTGCCTCGAAGGAAAGGCCCCAGAAAATCCAGGAAGCGATGTAACCAGGCCGTCGTCTTTCTGACTGGCGTCCAGAATGTTCCAGCTTCGTGACTCTGCGAGGGGCAAACCCCAAGACAATGCCAACACGGCAAGAAGTCGAATCTGTCTCACAAGCTGGATGCGTACGCTGGAGCTCTGGTCGAGCTGCCACCCCATTGTTCTTGCTTCAATTGCAGATGCTATGCGCTGATACGCTGTGGGGAGACAGAGTCAGATTGCCAAAATCGATGCTTGCATACAATCAGCGTGGATTCTGAGCGCACCAGAAGTTACCTGAATACAACAGTTGCGTATTAGAGTGCATCAGACTGGTCGTTAAGGATAGGGATGAGATTGATAAAGAGAATGGCAGAAGACATTATCAGCCCCACGTCGTTTCTCACGAGAGACAGGTCCTCAGCACCTTTGTCGATCAGGCAGACCTGTGAACTGAACAGTGTGCAGCTCAGCAAAGCTCTGCAGCCTCAGGATCGCTTCAACTTCAAGTTCTTGTCTTGGAAAACTGCTTTAGTAAAAGCTACATAAAAGGAGGCCCCGAGGGGCTGCTTATGACGGCTGCTTGACTGCCGGCGCTTTGGCTCCCGTTACAAAACCTTGGGTTCTGGATATATGTTGAGCTGCCGGTTCTGAGGCCGCTTGCCCCGACGTTCAGACGCTGCCTGTCTGTTTTAATATCATGCAACAAAACTCTGGTCATTTGCATTGAATGTCACAGGACGAATTGCACTCTGTAGCCGCCTGTCAATCGTAGGGGGAGTTGTAACTCGTGAGGAGCTGACTTCCCTATAAGTAACTTTCTTCCATGCAGAAAAATGGCGCACTATCCAACAGTTGACACCTCACCCCCCGAGCTGGAAGCTGCTTCTGTAGAGCAGCCTTTTCTTGCAGCAGGACAGTCTTCAAACACAGCAAGTCAGCGGCTTGGGTATCATTCTGGACGGCGCTCCTACAGGGATGCTTTTTTCCTGGTGAGCACAAAGAGCTTCCTTGTCGTGTACAGTGCATCCAAACAATGCTTGTTGATTGATTGCCGTTCTGTATAACCGAAGATTGTGTGCAGTAGAATTTCACACAGCTTGTATTGCATGGAGTTGCCGTCTTCCCCCTAGCATGGCTGGAAGCAGACGAAGGGCTGTGTGGAGCCGCCTGCTCGTTGAACCATCAATCCACCAGCCTATTTAATTCCGTGAAGACTGAAGCAACTCGACGAAGCGTGTGCTAGCGCAAAAGATACTGACATCAAGAGTTGAAGTAGAAAGTAAGTCCATATTTTGGGCAGACTACAGCACGTGCAGAATCTAAGCTAGGTCCCAGAAACAATTTACACTGACCAATTGAAACTCAGCGAGGAGCAATGTGGTACATATTAAACTCCCGCTCAACTTAGAGCGCCCTCACGACCCACTTCAGATTGAAAATTTAGAACCAGGTACAAGTGACACGTTGTAGAAGATTGCAATGCTGAGCACTGCCCTGACTAGTCTATGGCGAGAGTCAGATATGTGGTCCAAGTTTGTCGATGGCTGAGCTCTTAGTCAGGCCCCCAACAACAGGAATCCGTGAGTCCTTCTCTCTGCTACTATAAGAAGTTGTTCACTTTTTGCAGGTGCTCTTTTTGACGGCGCTTGGCGCCACCGTCGGCATTGGCATCTATGGGATCTTGCACAGAAACCGGGACTTTCTGGACCTTGTGGTAAGTGGACCTTGTGTTGAGAGGTTGCCCCCAGAGGTTGAGCATTCTATTGAAGAGGTCGCGAGACAAAGTGGGTTCAGCCCGCGGGGGCCACTCGCTTCTTGCGAAAGGAACCCAGAGCTGAGTTTCTCTTTTTGGGAAGTCTACGGTTGAACTTCATGCACAAAAGGTAGAAGTGTCCCGTCATACATGAAGCGTTCGCTCAATTGCCATATCTCACAATCTCACAAATGCCCAAGACTAGTTTTTGCATGCTTACCTCACAAAGGGCAAAACGATCATTTCTATAATTTAGAAAGGCCAGTAACGACAATGTATTCTTCCCTTCTCATGCATTGACCCCGTCCTGCAGGGAAAGGACTCGCTCAATGATCCTGCCAACTGCCCTGCTTACCACACAGACAACGTCACGCTTCTAAACCACCTGAGGAGCAACGAAGCTACTCTTGGGGCCCTGGCGAAGGCTTTTTTGACTCCTGTGGCGGTCACGCTTGGAGCGAGCGTTGTCCTCGGTGAGTTGAACCCGGATTTTTGTTCGCAGGCTGAGGGTGTGTTCAGATATATGATTGAAGTCGGGTGTTCGCCCAGTCTGTGAGCTGTATATACATAGACTGCTGTAGAGGGGAGATAAGCTCTTTCCCTTTTGATCAAGTGGACTTACAGCAGACCTTTGGCCACACGAGGAAGCGACGCATCCCATTCATCTGCTTAAAAGTCTCGCTGAAACGTCCAAGCGGCTACACTGAGTCAGCCAGCAGTCATGCAGACAGGTCCAATTTGCAGTCAATCATCTCTTAGAAGGATGGTCAGCAGAATTGGCGCTTGGAAGAGAGCCCTCGAGACTATGGGAAAGATCCAACTGATCTGTGAAGTTTCCTTCCAGGTCTTATCCTCCTGTGGCTCCTCAAGACCGTCCCCTTCTTCCTCGTCTATGCCACCGTCAGCCTCGTGGTAAGTGTCCATATTTTCAATTCGACGCATACCCTGAAAGACCTTTCGAACAATTGCTGGGCAACATTGCAGGCCGCGAGAAGAAGCTGGCGGCTTCGTCTTAAGTGACTTCGACTGTCAAAGCGCCCTCTGCGGTTAAAACTTCGGGGTTCTCAGCAGTCAATTTTCTGAATTGTACTGCAGCTTATCTCAACGTATCAGGAATTATAGCAAACATCATTTAGGTGTCCATTATAAAATCAGCAAATCTCGAGTGGAGACTGCATTGTCTTCTAAGCGCTGGCTCGGGCGGTCTCACCTATTCAAACCGTGGACACAGCGCCAATGCTGATGACCACTGTCGTTGTTATTGCGAGTTCCTGTTGCAAGTGGAACCTGACCCGACGTGCATCCTGTGCAGGTCTTGTCGCCAGCGCTGGGAGGGCTGGCAGCGTACTCCCTTGCTCGTGATGACAGGCAGAGGGACCCGCAGATCGTTCTGTACCCAGCGGGGGCCACCGCCGTCCTGGCATTCGTCTTTTGGTACATTCGAGAGTAAGTTGGACTAGTCTCTTGCGAAGTGAAGTTGCAGAAGAGTGCTGAGATTGCATGTGCAGACCACTGGCGCAAAGGCCTCCCTTGCTGAATGTCACTGGAGCGACTTTCGGGGGGTAACTATACCGATTGCTGAATTGCCAAATCGTGACGCTAGCGCAAAGAAAGGCTTATTGGCAGCGCCTTTGCGCAACCGCGTTGCAGCTCATTAGCCAATAGTTCAGCATTAACATCACGACGTAAAAAGCATTATCTCTAGTGTTTTCCGGGTCTTCTCCGACCTGTTCGGAACGGTCTAACAACGTAGAAACATTGTTTTGACATCTGACCGTGACTCCATTCTGTTCCACTCATCCAGCAAGTTGGCCCTGACGGCCCGTCTCCTGGGCTGCTCGGCGGCCGCACTGAGAGAGAATCTGAGCCTGGTAAGTGAACACCGGCGGGGCCTATTTCGAACTGAGCATCAATCCGTGATAATCAGCATTTCGGCCTGAAGATGTCGCGAAGCTACGACTTCAGTGCGTTGCAGGCCTAGATCTTAGTTGTTTCGAAGCACCGTCTTGGGAAGAACTTCGTCGACTTGGCGGCTTCAAGTGTGATCTTGCATCTTCTGCCAACAACGCTTTCGGTCCATGATAGCGCCAGCTGCTTCGCCATCATTCGTTCCCTTCCTTTCTGCTGATACCCAAACGCCTTAAGCACGTCGAGGGCCGAGATCAATTTCAATGATGGCTTAAATGAAACACAGGACCCGCACTTCTCTTGCAGTTGACTTTCGTTGCGCTCGTCCAAGTGTTCGCGGTTGTGATTTGGGTCCCCATCCCCGCCCTGATCGGGGTTGCCTACACAGACGGCCGTCTCGCCCCTAACCCGGACCTGAAGCCCGGCCAAGCGTGCGGAGCAAATTATGACGTCACGTGCTGCGCTTGGCAGCCCAAAAGGTAAGCACGCCGGCACATGGTCTTCATAAAGCTGGGTGTGGTTTGAAAATCCACAGAGCCGTGCGCTTTTACATCGAGCAATTCAAAAGCTTATTGGAATGGTCGAACCGTCAGAGCAGAATTTGAGACGTGACAAGGTATTCGTGCCGGACACACGGATCCTCAGAGCGCCATTATTGTCGATCAGTGGGATCAACGGCTTCTAAAGCACATAGTTGAAAGCAGGAACTTTCAAAGAACGTCCAAGAGGCAGTCACGTTTGTCCCCGATGGCAATCAGGCACCTGGTTTGCCCTTGTTTCGCCTTTACCTACGGCATCTTGAGCAGTGTCTGTTCCTGCCCGCAGCTGGTTCCCAGCGTATGCCGCCCTGGCCGGCGTCGTTGCGCTGTGGCTGGCGGCTCTCGTGAACCACATCCAAAGCTTCACAGTCGCAGGCGTCATAGCCCAGGTGGGTTGAAGCATCACTCCCAAACGGTCTCTCCATTGTTCCTGTCGTAAATAAAGAATCGAAAAATACCACTCTTTTGCTCAATGGACGTCGAGGAGGCTTCCAGCAGGAGTGCCTGTCTCCGTTAATTGCTTTTCGTCGCCCTTCTGTAGGCCTGCCGTTGGATTCCGGCATCTGTTCAAGATGATGAAATCTGAGCACCGCAAAGTCCACGCGCATCTTCTCGTTCTTCTCACTTGAGCCATCCTGGTCGAAAAGAAAAACAAAGCTCGGTCCGAGATCTTTTTGATTTAACAAGCCCCCGCAGCAAGGGCGATTTCTTTGGTCAAAAAGCTTCGGCAGAAGAGTGAAACCGGTGTCTGATTGGATGATTGCTTTCTTGTTGCAGTGGTATTTCGCAGAGCTGGGCCACCGGAGGAGGGCTCCCATCTGCAAGAACCTTCGGTCAGTGCGCTTTCTCATACTCTTGTGCATCAGCAAATGTCTCGACACTTGAAGCTGAGAACTTCCAGTCCCTTCTTCCGAATCCTCGCCGAATCTTTCCGCGCTGGAAGGCTGAGAAGTAAGCATGACATAGGCGATTTTGAAAACAAGTTGTGCATGAATCTGGTCGGGACGAACCGGGGACTTGAGTTTAATCAGTGAAGGCGTAGAAACCGCCCGATCTTGCGACCGGCCCTTCGTAGGATGTACTGTCAAACTGATGCAGATTCCGCCCAATCTCTTGAAGTTTCGACCGTGGACAGGTTGAACGAAAAACGTCATACAACCAGTCAGCTCCTTCAAGAGGAAGCAAGGGTTGTTGCGGGCTATCAAATGTTGAGTCGGGACCACGACTCTGAACTTTCCAGAACTTTCCAGAACTTTCCAGAACTTGTTCATAAAGTGGAACGTTTTCCTCACTGAGTTGACTTTTCTCCTCTGGTCATGCTTGGGACGCCCTCCTTACTGTTCTCAGTCGAAGATTGATCTTGTGGCCAACTTTTCTTGTGGCAGGTACGCGGTGGGCCCGTCGCTGGGCACGCTCTGCCTCTCCAGCCTGGTCGTAACGGTCATCTCTCTCGTCAAAGACGCCCTGGAAAAGTGAGCGTCTTTCTTGCTTCCATTGTTGCCTTCGTCTGTCGCTTGCAAGTATCCGCCTTTTGCTAGCATTGAGAGTTGCCAGCCCGAGACTTGCCTTTGGCAGCTCCAGAAGGATTACATACGTCAGCCGCAAAAGTGCGCGAGGAGAGTTGAAAGCTCCTATGACTCCATGCATTGCGAAGGAAGAGTTGCAGGAGTTCGGTGCGAGGACCCAGGTTGTGCCATCGGAAAGCCCCACGCTGAACCCAACGTTGGTCTTAATTTTAGAAGCCAAAATTGGCGGCCGTAATACCTGCTTCATGAAGATCGTCAACGTTCCAGCCTGAGATTGCCCGTGACGTCTTCTGGATGGACAAGGGTCCAAGAGCAGCAGCAGCCGTATTCACTGCGAGACGAAATGCAAAAGCTAGAAACTTCTTATCCGCAGTGCGAAGCAGAAGCTGCGGGAGAGCGGCGGCGAGAACCTGCTGCTGTCGTGCGTCGTGTGCTGCTTCGAGGCGATCCTGTCGGGCATCGAGTTCGTGACCAAGTTCACCATCATCACCGTTGCCATTACCGGCGACAGCTTCTGTTCCGCCGCGGCGCGCACCTTCGTCCTCCTACGCCGGAATCTGCTGTCAAGCGTCACAGTTGATAGCGTCTCGGTGAGTGGGGATGACAACGAAACTTGGATCCAGGATGACCTCGTGTTTCTTATGGGGGGGTGGGCGGGAACCGTGTGTTCCAATAAATCAGCGAGTGCGAACCTTTGGGGCTTCGGTAGTGTTGAAGCGAGTCTCAGTGGGCACTGGTTGTCGACAGCCGTGTAATTAACGACGGGCGGAAATGGGCCTCTTTCTATCTGAGCAACCGTACGTATGTGACATTATTGCACATTGCCGTATGTGCAGTGTTTGAAGCGGGAAGTGTGAAGCATCTTTTTTCCTGCTTAGACGACCCTGGAGGTTTCGAATGTCCCTTTTAGCCCGGTACTGGCAGATATGGAGAAAAAATCTGCTCCGCTCATAGTAAGTGTACTGTGAGTGGTGGCTGGGCGAGTCTGGGGATTTTGGACGCTTTACATAGTTGTTTTTATCCTCAACCATAACCAACACAAGGCCTTTCTGGAATGCAACCATCTTTCAAAGCCCCCAGTTGGATCACGATGCAGGATACATGGACCTGTCTTGACAAGTCCCTTCGAAGCAAAGACGCCTAATCCAAACGATGACCTTTTTACCAACAGATCTGGGTCCTGAACCTGGGGACCTTCGTGTTGTCCGCCGCATGGGGGACCGCGGTCGGCCTGTTCTGCTCCCGCCAGTGGAGCCACCACAACGCACCCGGCTTCGACAGAGAGGACGCAGGGGTGAGCGGCGCCTTTTTAAAACGTTTGGAGAGCTTTGCGCGACTGCATTTGAGCCGATCACGCCGAAAATTGGCCGTTCACGTCGAAGTTCCGGCACTCGCGCTTTCGACGACTCTAGGGGAACTTTGCTTGGCGGCCTCAATGTGGCTGAAGGCTGCATCAGTAATACGCGAAAGTGAACGAGGCCGAAAGGCTGCTTTGCCCTATGGGGCCTTCCAATGCTCAACCGTAAGAAGAAAGCTTTCGCAATCTGCATCGTCGTCTCTTCCCGCAGGCTTTGGGCGCTGTAGAAGGACAGGTGTGCTTCCTGGTGGCTTTCGCCCTGCTGCGGCTCTTCAGCCAGCTTCTTCTGAGCGTGGTAAGTGCGCCACGTGGCCAGACTGGACTAGCCATCCCTTTGCCGACCAACGGCTTTGACTGTAAGCGGTGAACGACAGACTACACCGCTACAGATATTAACATGAGCAATTACACCTTTCGATGTTGGGAAGACTCAGGGACCAGCTCTGTACTGGACTCTGTCAGAGCTTTGATGGTGATCTCAGCACGATTTCATGCTCTGCCCTTCCGGTTGAATGTTGATAGATTCAACCTTGCGCCTCGTCCTACGTCACTGCCAGCACCTAAGCAAGTGAAAAAATTAATCATGCCTTCCCTTTCCTTAGCCAGACTATACTGCTGGATTGCTGGTACAGATTCACCGCAACATTTTCTCCAGGTGGACACTGTCTACATCTGCTTCGCTCTGGACAAGAACCAAGGCGACGTGACCAGGCGACAAGTACACGAGGTGCGTGCCAGTCGTCTACTTCATCCTGGGAAGCCTGAATACTTTGCTGTAATTCTTCTCCTATTGCCACAATTCAATTGGGAAAGATGTTACTGCGTCATTCGTTTCCTGATGCGACCGTTAGACGAATGCGGTCAATAGGACGGGCCCCAACCGCATTCTCGGACGAGGCGGCCAGGTCTACGTTGAGCTTTGCGCAGAATTTAGAACTTCGCCCTCGAGTGTGTCCTCAATCGGTTTTCTGCGTACAGATACAGAAGGCACACGTTCTAAGTGGTATCTGACGTTGAGACGTTCGAGCGGTCCTTTTTAAGCAATGGTCAACCTCATATTCTGCGCTCCTCTAGACATCATCCTCCTGAGAAGGACGTCACACAGGTCATTTGCTGCTGCTAGTTTCAAATAAATTTCCGCATCTTGACGATGAGCTTTCGCATCTGATCTGCAGCAGAATTATGGTCGACTCCTTTACGAGATCTTGGACGTTCCTTTGTCCCGCAGATCTACGAGAAGCTTCCCAGCGTGAAGAAGGGCAGACATGGTGAGGACTACGAAGCTGCGCAAGGCAACGGCGGGCAACCTTACTATGCGTCCGCACCCCCAGTGCCGGGACTGCCAGCGCACAACGCCACAAGAGGGGAGCCGGTCACAGGTTATCCTTTAAGGTAGCCCTGGGGTCGCAACCTCTTTGGCTCTGTCAAAAGCAACAATATGCGTGTGTACATATGATGTCATTTTTAGTCACGTTTCCCATTTTTGGAGTCACTCCTGCTCGAGTGTTGCGGTCGACCCGTCAAGAACAAGTAAAGGGGTATTGCTGTGGTATTTTTAGTATTAAGATCAAAGATAGCCGGACAAGGAGAGGAACATTGCATGTGCCATTTTTGAGTTTGAATAGATTGGAGGCCGTAGTCACATGTTATGTGTAAGAGCGTGGTCCGACTAAATTGCGTGGCAGCTAGGTTGGCCCGCATTGAGTTATGAAAGTGTATTTCTTGCAAACATGTATTATTTTGTATCTCAAAAGCACTTTCATGTCGCGCGTGCCGCAATGCATTGCAATGCATCGCGGCACGCGCGACATGAGCTCGCACTCTGAGACATGTCTCAGAGTGCGAGCTCACCGTCATGTCTATACGTCATGTCCATCACCCCTGCAGGCTGAGGACTTATTAAAAAGTTTCTTCGTTCTCCAAAGGAGGAGCATCCGGTCGATCCATGTGTTGATAACATGCATCTGGTATTGATCAATGTATTGAACTCATGGTGCGCGCTTGCAATTGCATGTTCGAAGAGGAACTTATGTCTACGCGCCTTATAATGGGATTATTGATCGAACGCAGATCAATAGACGCAATCATGAAGCAATTAAGTTAAATTGTATATATGCGGACTGATATGGCTTCCGCATACGCTATTCAATGGAGCCTGATTTCAAGCAGAACAAGGCTCATGTCATGTGGATGATTTGGACTATCATGTTGCAGCTTCTTTGAGTTTAATACCAAGTTGAACTTCTTCTAAGGCCCTTGACTCTAAATCAAGCTACTTGCAGCATTCCGAATTTGACACCATGCCCTCCTTCGATCAAGCATGTACGATCGGCTTCACTGAAGTTCCATAGCTAGATGTTAGTGTGAGTTCCAAAGCCTCCATCTTCTGTATAATATTTGTCCGCACTTCGCATCTGTGGTAAATGCTCTATTGGGCCAGCTGATATATCCACTCTTCATGGTCCATATTTACAATTCGTGTCACAAGACCCTACTTCAATCTTCCAGAAGAATTACAAGAACCCCTTTCTCTTCGATCCCTTTTCTCACTTCTCTCGAGACCTTCTTCCCTAGAACCGCCGGTCGACATTTTACATTCAACTTCCCGTACACCTTCTCCCATAGCTCAGCGCGCCGGACAGCTCGTGTTGCATCTTTCATGCCGATCCGTATACTAATCTCCCCAATCAAAAACTCCGACAGCCCCGGCTTCCCACTCTGCTTCCCACAATCGACAACAATGTCAATCCTCAGAGCTTCTGCTGCTTCCGATTTTGTAATGACCCCGTACTCAGCCGCCCACTCCGCATCTTTCCGACGCTCGTCTTTCGGAACATAGCGTGACTGTAGGCCGATGAACTCCTGAAACACCAATCCATAATTCTCGGCAATCTGCGCCTCTAGCCCCGGTCCGGCCAACGACCCAGTAAGATCGTCTAGCCTACGGTCCAAGCCCCTGATGCTTTTCTTCAGGTTCCCCTCCAGGTTCGAGAACTGCCTCCAAGTAACGTTTTCAATCACAGTTTCTGCATCAAACCAGCAAAGCTACCGCTGAGAAACAAATGAAAGAACTGGAGACTAAAATGGAAAAGCAAGGGATTGCAACGAACACGGTTCTGCCCGCTCCTTTCTGCGGAATTCACAGAACAGTACAGGCAACCTTGCAAGACAAGCTGCTTGGCGCATCAAAAAAACCCTTCTCCATTGATCCCCTGAGGCTGTTCTTTCCTACATACATCAGAAACTGTTCCTTCATGTGTTACGCTCACCTCCATGCTTTTTGTTGGTAACCGCATGCGACTCGTCTCGTAGTTTCGTTTGCCCTGAAAATGATGACATCAAGACTCTGAATGCAGTTGCCGAATGGCGCTGTAACTACAAGCAGCTTGCTAATATCAAAGCCTCACATATGACCAAGATGTGACACCTTTCAAGCATGTGTGCAGGGACTCGTAACTACGTCTTTCGTTGTCTGCATTGAAGCTGCTGATCAGTCGACCAGCAATTATGCATAAGGATGCACGACCCCGTACTCCAGTAGCATCGACTCATGCGACATGTAATCATCAGGCAGCCATGGTACCGCCTGCAGAACTAGAATGAGCCACCACCTTACACCACGAGTTGGTTTGCATCCAGCAGTACAATGGAATCAACCAGCACATCTTGGTTTGAGGTTAAGCTGCAGATATGTCTGATGTAGATCATGCTTTTTGACCACTAACCGTCCATGCATTAGGAAAGAGGGTCTTTCTTCATCTCCTCTTCCCTGACTGATGCTGACAAATAATCGTCTGCCGAAGCTGGACAGGTATTGGTTCTGAGGGGCCCAATCTAGTGGACTTAAACCGTTGATCAACAGTTGACGTGAGCAAGACAATCAAGACTACGTTGGGGACATTGCAGCAGAAGTTACCTGGTGATGGTACGGACCGTGCAGGCAAACCCTGCTTGTCAGAATCATTGTTCACTGCCACCACTGAAAGTGGACCCATCCTCAATCCCTGCCGCACAATTGCACTTGAAGACGTCATAGTGGCAAATTACGTTCCCACGTTCCCCTGCTAGGAAGAAGGTGTCCTGTACAGGGACTGCTACCCTGTTCTCGCCTGCCTGCTGATCTCTTAATCATACCTCATTCTGCTGATCATTCACTTCGCAGCGTGCCAAAGTTGCTGATGGACTTGACTATAGCAGCACGAGAGGAGCATCACACAGGCTCCAGCAACAGCAGCACTGCAGCAACAGCAATTAGCCCTGAAAGGTCTATTTAAACACTTGGTCCTACACCATTTCGCTAGCTAGCTTGCGCGAAACAATGGCTTTATGGAAAACGGATTATCCTGAGGAGTACACTTACTCGGCTCCTCAGCTGATTTGTGAGGGGCAGAAAGCCTTGAAAGAAAGGTACACTACTAACCAGACATCTAACCCAACTCTCTAACCAAGGATTCCGTGCGCCCCTGCAGGAGGGGAAGGCGCGAAACAATGGCAACCCGATCTGACAGTGGAGACTGAAGCCAAGGCCCAAGCTGCCAGTTTGGCATGGTGAGCCGAGGAGAGTCTTCAGGAGAGTTATACCGGTAGGTAAGTTATAAGGCTACGCTACATTTAGGTAACATGGGGGGCCGTCTGGACGACGGCACAGGCTTGCCTCTTTCTCGATTCAAAGTCGTGCAATGAATCTTAATACGATAATCATAGCAAGACACTTGGTATCCATGAGAAACCTCTAGAGCGCCGACTGATGCAGCTGAGCACTATGCAACCTTCACGAGATTACGTTCTCAGTTTAAGATCAGAAGTCCTCAACGCTCACTGACTGAAAACGACAATGAGGACATGCAATTCAGAGGTCCGCAGGACTGAACGTTTGATCTCAGCACTTCAAAAGCGCTCCGATTTTATACCACCAGCAGCTTGGACTTGTCTACCATAACAGGTATCCCTAATCCTTGGAATTCCTAATATCAAATCATTCAACGTGTCTTTCACGTGCGCATCTACGAGTTGTTCTCTTGTTATGCCAGAATGTCTAATTGCCATTTGAAAGCAACTGTACGTAGCTTGTTCTAATGCTCTTGGCTGCTCTGGAATTCCAAAAACTTTGCAAACATCTCGATCAGGTAGAACATCATCTCTTAAAGCTCAAAAAAGCCTGCTTGCCGCCCACCTCACCGTATGTCTAATGGTCTCTGCCCGTTCGTTTTCTGATACCAATCTCATCCTACTTCTCAAGGCTTTACACGCAGGCTTATGGTTCCTCCAATCTGATTGTTGATGCTCAACTGTACAATAGTACGTGGCTTTACAGTGACTGTCCGCATCTAGTAAACGTAGCTATTCCGCAGATTTCGCAGATGCCAGCCACCTCAATTGTACGCTCTTCTCTGTCAAAAGTACTCATCATTCGTCTAGTTCATCACATCAAGTGCTATTTCATCACTTCAGTAGCACTACTGCCTTTATCGCTGTTGCCCAGAGTAGTTTTAGCAACGGGAGGACTCTCCGTTCTTTGCGGGCTCGATCTTGTTTCCCGTTCAGCTGCGAGAGTCGACAAATGGTTTTCCATGCTTTGCAGAAAAGAAGTACCTCCATGAAGCAGCTGATGCTGCTGAAAGCGAACTTTACAGAGCGCATAGAAATAGTGCCCGCTTTTCCACGAATCCCAACAGAAATCATATCATAGTACGAGCGGACTGATTCCGCCGGAATCCGAATGCCCACGATGCTCGTGATTTCATGTGTTTTGTGAAACTCACTGTCCATACAGATGCTATCGGTTAGTTTTCATACAGAAGTATGCCTTACCTGAGCGTTCTCTCGAGAGTGGCTGCAGTTCGTCGCGGATGTCAAAGATAGACTGCCCGACGTCGTTCAGCTGCGTGTGTTGGATGATTCGCCGGACCTGTGCGCGAAGCAACTTACAAGTTTAGACTCCAAAGATTTAGTAACAAGAATACCACTGTTCTGATGCAACGGGGAGCAAAAGTCTGCAAAGATGCGCGTTTCAACCGCGTCTTCAACTCGTACGTGCACTCTAGACCCAGCATCAATTTGAGGTCGTGTCTTTGAGACTCTCTCTGAGAAAGTTGTTTATGCTACCATTGTTTACAGGAAACCCATCAAAGAAATCCTTTCAGAGATTTCGATGCTTACGTGCATTGTATGCCCTGCATCGTCTTCAGACCGGGTCTGCAAGGCATGAGGCAGCTCCTCTGGTTTCAAGTTGTCCTCTAAACGAGAGAATCCAGGCGGCAGTCTGCTAGAATCGCCCACATCTGCTGCGTCATCTGCATCCGCGTCTCCTTTTCTAAGAATCCGCAAGCGCATATTGTGTCGAGGATCTGGGAAAATGACGTAGGTTTGGAAATGCCGCAAAAGACGATCGGATTTCTCCCAGTCCTGCAAGCGAGGGCCACGCGAAGAAACTATCAGCGAGCCAATCTATCCTCCGAGAACAGCTATCAGCTTATTTTTCAGCATGGTGTTAAGGCAGCGAGATTCAAAGTATTTATAGCAAACTGTACCATGTCTTGCTTCTCTAGTTTGGAACTGTCTCAATCTCCGAGTGTTCTACAATAATGCTGTTGAAACATAAGACTCGTGGGCGCACTACAAAAAGAGCATGCACGACCAGCGTTAAATAAAGATCATTTCTTACCACGTCCCGAGCAAAAAAGACCTCAAAATGGGTTGGATGGTGCAGCGTCTCAGCTCTCCGCATCGGATTCTGAAATGATACTCGCTCAGCGTGATTCTCAATAAGGACCAATTTCCCCAGCAGTATGAGTTCTTGCACCACAACTCCGCTTCGCGCCCTAAACTCGCGGAAAAGTCATGTCCTGAGATGTCCTCGCCAGACGCCATAGCTAGGTCCAGGTCTCTGCCAAGCGCTCGAATCAAGACGACCTGCTGCAGCGCATTTGAAATCAATCGAGGAGAAGCACACAGTGCAGTAGAGTGCGTCCAGCTAGCAAGACAGAGTCATTAGCTTTGACATTCCGATCGTCCGATCAAGTATGATCAAACACCTCCTAAGCATCGAACAGTCTTCGACTGCTGCATGCATGTAGCTGGAAAAATGTATCGGCAGTTTGCTTTGCGCACGCTTCCAACTCTTATGCATCGTGCTCAGGTTCCCTAATAGATCACTAGCATTCCGAGCTCAGAGACATTTAAACAGGGCGCATATCTTAGAGGGATTGAGTAAGAGCGGCGCGCGAATTGCGCGCTGAGATTATGAGTCCTGTTTCATGTGAGCATGGCGGGGCTTATTGCAGGCTAAGTGCACGAAGGTCCTGTTTCGTTTGCTTAAGCGGGCACCTTTGAATCTACGAGCAATGGCTAGACGAAGACTGAAAGCGGCGGGTGTGGCGCTCTTGCTTCGATGGTTGGAAGAGAAGAACGTCCGAAAGCTATTGCATGAGCTCACAGCAGCATGCGCGTCTGCAACTTACATACGACAGCATCCAATCGTGTATGCGTCAGCACAACAGCGTGAGCAACTGTTTCAAATGGGAGCAAACCGGGAATTGGTGGACCAAGGCTTCAGCAGCAGACGAGAGCTCATGAACTTCATCAGACGCGCTGAGAGTGCGCTGCGAAAGTTGCAAGCCACCCGTTCTTCGAACGAACCTCAGGAGCTAGCTGACAGTAAGTTTTTTAAAAGTATAATCCAAATCAGCCGTCCAAAGAACAGGTTGCTGAGCAAAGGGTGAAGTCTGTTTCATCTCGTGCTGAGCTGCAAGATGATTTGAAGCAACATGGAGGTCCCAAAGGACAGCAAAACTGGCCGCGTCAAAGATCGTTTTACTGCATTTTAGTCTCAGTTCAGTCATGAATAGGTCTCAATTCAGCATTATTTGAGCGAGCAAAAGATTGCGAATCAGAAACATTCCTAATTAAGAATAGATTGCCAAATACCTTGGAATTCTCATACTTGTAGGTGTGCTGCGCGAGATATTGCAAACAGCTTGGGATTCTCATACCTGCAGGTGTGCTGCGCGAGATATTGCGCACGTGGTCGCCACCTGGAGACGACTTGGACATGCTGTACGACCAGCAGTATGCTATCGAGTACGAAGGAGACGGATGTGACATTCCGTTCTCCGTTCTCCGAGAGCTCTGCGACTTGTTTGGCATCACAGGGGCTCAGCTTCAACGGATGGGGGGCCGCTTGATTGTAAGTCATTCTTTTGAGCTTTCTGTCTTTCTGTGACGTCTGCCCTAAAGCCTCAGCTATAAAGCGGCAATACGATCAGAGAACGAAGCGGAAACTCTGTCGCCTATGCAGCAGCCA